CTTCCTTCACAATAATTCAGTGTTAACATCTCCATCAATGTTAAAAGTAATTGAATTGGAAGAATTCACTCCTAGGTTGGGGAAGAGAAAATGAAATCCATGACCTGTTCTTAATTGTTTTTTCCCAACATGATTGCAGCCAGCTCTATTTTGCCTTTATTGAATCTTCGGATAAATGTCAGCAGAAAATAAGGACTCGTTTCCTTGGTACTACTCAATGAGAATTGGAGATAGATAGATAGATAGATAGATAGATAGATAGATAGATAGATAGATAGATAGATAGATAGAGTAGAGTAGAGTAGAGTAGAGTAGAGTAGAGTAGAGTAGAGTAGAGTAGTGTTGCAAGTTAATCCAATGCTGTTATAGCAAAATGTGTTCTGAATATTGGTACTGTTAACACCTAACTGTGTGGGGGGAAAACTGAATAACAGTGATTGTCAATGATTAATTTGGTAGAATCCATTGCTAAAGCATTGTTGGAATTAAATAAATATGAACTAATCAGTATCTAGGAAGGAGGCTGTGAACATAGGGATGAAATAACTTCATAGTAAATATTAATTTACTTAGTAGTAAATATTTAGTTTTAAATCAGTGTTTTAAAAAATATAAAATACATGTTTTAAAAAAATATCTAAAACATTTCCAATAACTTAATTGTTGAAATGCAAGAGTTTTTCAATTATAATACACATCTTTCTGGATTTATAGGTAGTCCTTGAGTTATGGCCACTTCTTCAGTGACCATTCTAAGTTATGATAGTATTAAACAAAGGGACTTAGAGCCATTGTAGCCCATTCATGATCACATGAACAAAATTCGGCACATAGCAATAGCATTAGCACTTATATACATAGTGGTTTACAGCCCCCTCTAAGCGATTTACAGAGTCAGAATATTGCCCCCAACAATCTGGGTCCTCATTTTACCGACCTCGGAAGGATGAAAGTCTGAGTCAACCTTGAGGCCTGTCAGGATCAAACTCATGGCAGTAGAATGCAGAATTAGCCTGCATTACTGCATTCTAATTACTCCGCCACCATGGCTACACATGTAACGTCTTCCTTCCCAGGCTTCTTCCGCTCAAGCCACTCACACCATATTATAGCACCTCCATTCCTCAACTCATACACAGTCTCTGCCCTAGGTCTCCGGGCGTTCTCCACCTATCCACATCATACTTTAAGACTGTATTGCTTAGCGATAACCATGCCAGTCCCAATCGCAGTATAAGTCAAAGTCTACCTGTATGTACTATTCTCTCATATTTTCTAAACAATAAATGTCCTTTAGCTTCCTCTCTGAAACTATAATCCTCCTTGCAGAACTAAAATGAGAGTTTTTTAGTTGTTCCTTTCTCCTTCTCTCTGTTTAATATTAGTTTATTTTTTAAAAAGAAAAATCCAGGGAACAATTTTTTTTCTTAATTGCATCCATTGTGTTTGCCTAAGTGGAGAATATACAGCAGTACCACTTGGTATAGCTTTTCATGTCTCTAAGGAAATGAAGCATTTTGCAAGTTAATTACATTTATCCAGCATGGTAAATACAGCAAGATTGAGCAGCATCTTTGTCTATTTTGAGCCTGGCAGGAAAAGGAACAGCAAACATAATTCCATTACAGCTTGTAATATGTGAATATGTGTGTTCACATTCTTCCTGCATAGAGAACACTCAAAATTTGTTGTGGAGAATAGGAGTTATGTGCTGTAGAAAGTGAGAAAATGATACTCCATACAAGCTTGCATGCTATGAAAAATATAACATTCTGAAGTCTGAAGAAAACTGAATTAAGCACTATACCAGCCCATGGCCCTGAATTAAGCACTCTGTCCTGGATAGCTAGTAATGCAGCCCCACAAGATTGTACTTTTAAAAAAATAGTGTGATTTTTAGTGATATTTGTATACAGTAACTATATTATATATTTTATATGTTTTATATATATATATTCCTCTTCGTGCAATACTGCCCAAGCAAGCCAAAAGTTTTGACACCCATGCACTATAAATTAATGGCTTTGTATAAATTTTGTAGAACAGAGGTGGAGAACGATGGCCTTTTATGACTTGTGGACTTCAACTCCCAGAAATCCTGAGCCAGCAGGAATTCTGGAAGTTGAAGTCCACAAGTCATAAAAGAGCCATCATTCTCCACCCCTGTTGTAGAATGTGTTGCAGTGTACCTACTTCAAGGGGGTAAGAAGGCAATTATAAAAACCACCATCTTAGAAATTTATTAAATTTAAATGCCATATTTTTTGCAAGAATTCAAGTGATATACTGTACATAGTGCTTCCTGCGCCTTTTTCCCGTGTGTAGGATAGGCCAAGGAATGTAACTGGCTCAAAGTCACCCAGTGAGCTGCTCCAGATGAAGTATAGCACTTTAACCATACACCATACTAATTCTTCCTCATTTTTGCTCCCACTGGATCCAACATTAAAACCATTAATACTAATAGTTTTCAAGTAGCTTTCGATGGGGCAGGGGACACATTCCTGGGCTATATGCAACTTCAGGAAATACAGGTAGTCCTTGCTTAACCATAGTAATTGAGACTGGAGTTTCTGTCATTAAGCAATGCAGTCATAAAATGCAACATCACATGACCATACCACTTAACAACAACACTCCCAGGTTGCTGTCATTAACTGAGAATTTCTTATGATAGAAACTTCAGACTTCCTGCTGCTTCTCCATTGACTTTGCTTGTGGGAAGCCAGCAGGGAAGGTCACAAATTGTGCCCATGGGATGCTGTGACAGTCAGAAATCCAGGCCAGTTGCCAGGCACCCTGATCACAGTCACATGACCACAAGGGCAATTTGCCAGCCAGAACCTTGAAGACTGATCAGTAGTACCACTTGTTCAGTACTATAACAAGTTTGAATAGTTGCTGAATATTGGTCATTAAATCAGTTGGAATGGAAAGTATATTTTTTTTTCATCTTCTCAATCTAATCCTCAAAATTTCTAGCTGGGAGGTCAAGTGAAACTATTAGTTTTGAAATTTGGTGTTTAGAAATGGTGCTAAATGTTATTTTACAAAATATTCCCCATTTTATATGAATGCTTGCAGATTTGTACAAAGTGTTTTACTCAATGTAAAGTTTTTTGAAGCTTACATTAACTACAGAGGGATCTTGGAGTCCTAGTGGACAATCATTTAAATATGAGCAGCAGTGTGCTGCAGCTGCCAAAAAAGCCAACGCAGTGCTAGGCTGCATTAACAGAGGAATAGAATCAAGATCACGTGAAGTGTTAATACCACTTTACATTGCCTTGGTAAGCCCACGCTTGGAATACTGCATTCAGTTTTGGTCACCACGATATAAAAAAGATGTTGAGACTCTAGAAAGAGTGCAGAGAAGAGCAACAAAGATGATCAGGGGACTGGAGGCTAAAACATATAAGGAACGGTTGCTGTAATTGGGTATGTCTAGTTTAACAAAGAGAAGGACGAGTGTTCTAATATCTCAGGGGTTGCCACAAAGAAGAGGGAGTGAAGCTATTCTCCAAAGCACCTGAAGGCAAGACAAGAAGCAATGGATAGAAACTAACCAAAAAGAGAAGCAACCTGGAACTAAGGAGAAATTTCCTGACAGAACAATTAATCAGTGGAACAACCTATCTCCAGAAGCTGTGAATGCTCCAACACTGAAAGTTTTTAAGAAGAGACTGGACAACCATTTATCTGAAATGGTTAGGGTTTCCTGCCTGAGCAGGGGGTTGGACTAGATGATCTTCAAGATCCCTTCCAACTTTATTGTTGTTGTTATTCTTATTATTATTATAAAGTTGGAACGGAATCTTGGAGGTCATCTAGTCCAAATGTTTGTCCAGTCTTTTCTTAAAAACTTCTAGTGTTGAGCATGCACAGCTTCTGGAGGCAGGTTGTTCCACTTAAGTTGTTGTTGTTAAATTAATTGACATGGCCTGTGAATCTCTTCTTCAAGGTTAGTGATAATAACTACTTCTGCTCATGAGAATGTAGCATCTATTCATCAAGAGATTTTGATGTTCTTGAAACAAGGCCTGCAATTTTAATCTGCAATGGATAATTAACTTGTGTACAGCTATATTGTCTTGGGGGTGCTAATTGGATAATAAAAGACTTGCAGCCATAAAATTATGTTTCACCTATCATTTTAGCCTTTATTTCATCTCCTAGGAGAACATTATTATTTTGGGAGACAGAAATGTTGTATTAGTTTTTAGTCCAAAATTGGGGTTGAAATTTATTTGAAATTGCTAATCATTGAGGGGTTCTTGGTTTCATTTTTTAGCAATCAGAGTATGTATCTGTCTATTTTGTTATTTATTACTGCTACACCCGATTAAATGGGTGATCTGAATACCTGGGTTGATGAGCGATTAAATCATCAGTATTTAAGATGTTGCAGAAGTCTTCTGTACTGTTAAGTAAACAATACAGATAGAATTAATGGACCCAAATCCTTTAGGACTGGGAGTTCTGTGTCACCTTTGGCTAAAATGATACGGTATGAGTATCATGCAGTTCCTCTTGTGTATTGAGGTATTGGTAAAAGCAATTTGTCTAAAATAGTTCCCAAATGATTATATTAATAGTAACTGGATAACTACAACCCTAGATCTGGCCAGAATGCCAGAATGTTGTTGAGCTTCTTTAAACATTGATTTGACCATTCTTACTCATGTATGAAATAACTGACCTTTTGAACCATGTATATGACTTATGAAGCAAATGTTAAAATGAATGCATAACTAATTTTGAATTACAGATTTTCTACAGTGGCTCTATACGGAACTTGAAAAGTACTTACATTTGTATGACTTTTTATTCAATTTCAGTTTACCTTATTACTGACTTCATGTTGGCTAGTATATTGCACTTTTCAGTTCTATTCTCCAGCTGTGTGTCTTGTTTGTTTAGTGGGTAGAAATACAGATAATTTAACAATGAATTCCTTAAAACGCTCATAAGAATGTTTTTTCCTTTCTTCCTTGAAATAGATAATATACTTGAAACAATCTCCAGAAAGTGTATACAGGCATTTACTGTTTGGGAATGTTTCATATCTTCCATTCAGGTAAATAAAAGCATGCAATTGAACAATATCTACATATGTGTGTGTGTGTGTGTGTGTGTGTGTGTGTGTGTGTGTGTGTGTGTGTGTATGTTTTCTGAGGTTTTCGCGGGTATTTGTATGTAAGTCTTTGGTTGTTCGGGTTTTCTCCCGCGTAAAATTGGAAGTGTCTTGGCAACGTTTCGACGAAGTCCCACTCGTCATCTTCAGGCTGGTGTTTTCAGCTTCGTGCTTTGAGCAGCAAATATATATATATATATATATATATGTATATGTATATATGTATATGTATATGTGTGTGTGTGTGTGTGTGTGTGTATATATATATATATATATATATATATATATATATATATATATATATATATAAATAAAATTACATTAAAAATTGAAGAATAGCGATTCCTGGGTACATACATTTCAGTAAAAAAGGAAGCGATCACCAGGAAATAAAACACCAAGGTTTTAATAAATAAAATCAAGCTTTCGATGGCTAACATCTGCCATCATCGTCAGGATACAAGCCAGCCAGTGAGGAAACCCGCCCATAAGCATAGCCACACCTAAACTCTACGCATGGACCTCGTAACATATACATATATACATACATACATACACACACACACACACACACACTGATCTCTTAACTCTTTGGAACATGTAGATTGGTATTTTCCATTTCAGCAATTTTGAAATAAGTGGACTTCAACTCTTAGTATACTTATCCCTGGCTATGTTAGGATCAGGTAATTTGAAGTCCACATGTTAAGTCCACATATCGTATATAGTGGCTGGATTTTTTATTCTGCAATTGACTAGCTGATTCATAAAATATGCAATCTTGCAGATGAGCAAAGTATTTATACCTTGTTCGTGGTTAATTTTTACTTTGTATGTAGTGGGAAGGGTTTGTTGATTTTTTTTTTAATATGTATGTGAACTTGGCAGAGAATTAAAGTGAACCAAGAACAAGAGAACAATCAGTGCTCCTAATTGCAGTTTGCAACTGTGGGTTAGCATAATGAATGAGGAAAATGTAAGCCGTTATTTCAAATAGACTTATTGCTATAAAACAAGTAATGATTTATTTGGTAATCCTCTTATTAAACCTCATATTAAATTTAAAACATATCAAATACATTGTGAGGTTATGTGATACCCAAACTTAGATCTATAAAAAGAGAAGATTCTCTGTTCTCAGAGAAGGGGATGGGATGGGAAAAGGAAAATGGGCATAGATATGGATTCTTAATATTACTATTAAGGCTATTAAATCTGTTCTCTTGCTGATGAAATTGGTTTGGATAATGGAAAAGACTGATCCGACTGCTTCTCAAGATGATAGATGGTAATCTATTTTCTCTCTCTTCCACATCTTGGTGGAATGAAATTTGTTTCTTGTTTCTGGATCAGCAGCCATGCAATAGAGATTATGCCCAACATGTGCTCTGTTTTACTGCTTGTGGCTATTTAATGTGTCAGCTTTTATCAGTTTAACAACTTTATATATAAGCCCTCACTAGCATAATATGTTGGTGTAAACAGAGTCCGGAAAAGCAATAAATGGATGCTAAAAAATTGGAGAACAGCTGGTGGTTTTTCAGTCCTTACTAAACTACTTAGTGCTCATGTAATGAAAATGAGTATACAGATATATATATATATAGACAAATGAGAAACATCAGCTGTTTTGTCTTGCAAACTGGATTTGAGCTCATATATGTATTCCTCACAGGGATGCTGCATTTGGTACCTGCACTTTTCATCTAACTCTGCTTGACTGTTTCCATGCAATAAGTAAGGTTAGTATGATATAGTTCACAGGTCGGCAACCTGCGGCTCCGGAGCCGCATGCGGCTCTTTGAGCCTTCCCCTGCGGCTCCCAGCCTCCTCTGCCTTTGCAGAGAGAGACAGAGACAGAGAGAGGATTTGCGCTTCCCTGCTTCTCTCTCTCTCTCTCTCTCTCTCTCTCTCTCTCTCTCTCTCTCTCTCTCTCTCTCTCTGTGTGTGTGTGTGTGTGTGTAAAAGAGAGTGTACTCACATGTTCTCCGAGGAGCTGAAAAGCTTACTGGGCGGAGCTCCTCCCTTTGCTGCGTCTCTGCAGGAAGCAGGAAGGGCAGGAGAGAGCTAGCTAGCCCAGCTAGGCTGACTCAGGAATTCTGGGAGTTGAAGTCTATGAGTCATAAAAGAGGCGAGGTTGCCTACCCCGATCTTGTTGGACAACAGCCTGAAGCTTGTCAGGTGAGCAGCAGATAGGAGAGGGGGGGGGAGAAAGAGAGAGAGGGGGAGAGAGAGAGGGGGAGAGAGAGAGAGAGAGGAAAGAGAGAGAGAGAAAGAAAGAGAGCGGGAGAAGAGGAGTGGCAGACCAAGGGCAGATAGGGAGAGAGAGAGAGAGACCCTTTTGACATCTAAAATGAAGATAACACTGCATATATCCTTTTTTTACGTGTGTGTGTGTGTGTGTGTGTGTGTGTGTGTGTATATATACATACATATACATATATATACACACACACACAAACACACACCTATAATAAAGGTAAAAAAGGATATATGCAGTGTTATCTTCATTTTAGATATCAAAATGGTTTTGCGGCTCCCAGTGTTTTGTTTTTGGTGGGAAACGGGTCCAAGTGGCTCTTTAAGTGTTTTGGGTTGCCTACCCCTGATATAGTTCATGTTAGTGTGATATATAAGGCTGTTATTTATTTAAACTTTTTGAAATCCTAGGGAAATTTAATCTCTGAAATTAGATAAACCAGAGAAATAAATTAAAACAAATTCTGAGATGGTTCCAGGATTGAGTATGCAAGAATTCTCTCAAGAATTCTTTGGTTGCCTTTCCATGTTATACTACTCATGCATTCTGACCTTCAAGATTGGCTGCTTGTCTATGTTAACTTGAGTGATGAAAGCTTCATTATAAAGCTGAATAGCATTTAAGTAGTAATGTCTTTTATGTGGTGCTTTTTAAATATTCAAAGTCTCCACTTTGGATATGTTGGATTTGAACTTACTGTGTTTGCTAGTTTACAGAAGTTGTGCAGCTAATTTGGAAGATTTCTGATAGAAGTATTTAAATGAAATCAGTTACTATGCTGATGATTGGTAGATAAAGTGTTTAAAAAGAATGTTTATCATCTACTCTACCAGATTTCTACATGTTAAATTCATTTCTTGTGAATTATAGGCATTGCATTATGGCTTCCTTGATTTCAATACATTTGATGTAAATGAATATGAGCATTATGAAGTAAGTATCATTCACGTTTCTAGTAATTACTTACAGTTACTGTTGAGACTATATTTGCATAAAATTGGCATGTATTATTTACATCTCTTGAATTTTAAAAAATAAATTTAAATAAGTGAGGTGGAAAAAAATAAGTAACCGAACCAAACTTAAAACTGTTGCATCACCATGTGAGGTAGCTCTTCAGCTAAGATTAAAAGTGTGATAGCATGAATTAAGAGTATATATTCTAATATACAACAAGACCTTTACATTAACAATCATTGTCTCCTTTGTTTTGTTCACCAAAACAAATAGATCAAATGCTATGTATGAGAAATGAAGTAAAAAAATGTATTATTTCTTAACAGAGGGCAGAAAATGGAGATTTCAACTGGATAATACCCAAAAAAATCATGGCGTTCAGTGGACCTCACTCAAGAAGTAGAATTGAAAATGGTATGCTTAAATTATAAAGAGCTTTATGAGTTCCATAGGAAATTATCAGATACAGAATCAGACTGTTGGCCAATCTGGTAGTTGCAGTTGCCTCATATTTAAGGCAGAATATTCTCTTAATTTTCAGAATGAATGTTTGTGGGGGGAAAACACCCTTGTATAGATTTGGATGCTCTTTCATCAATGGGTTGTATCTGACATGATTTTCTGCATTTGTTTTTTCCTTCAAGGGTATCCACATCATGCACCCGAAGCCTATTTTCCATACTTCAGAAGGCATAATGTTACCACTGTAATCCGCCTGAATAAGAAAATGTATGATTCTAGAAGATTTAAAGACACAGGGTTTGACCATTATGATCTCTTCTTTGCTGATGGAAGTATACCTAATGATGCTATCATCAAAGCATTTCTGAACATTTGTGAGAATGCTGAAGGTGCTATAGCAGTACATTGCAAAGGTATTAAAGTGATGAATTCAGATCATTAATGTCTCATTGCTTATAACTGTGTTCATAACGTGCCTTACCAGCCCCTGTAGAACTCATCAGATTTGGCTGTCTGAATACTGCCTCAGGATATATTTTTAGTGAGTTTGATCAGAATTAGATCATTTCACACAAAAGGTTGAAATTAGTCATAGCAGAGGATATTATTATTTTTTCCTCATTCTGTGAAGATAAGAGGTTATTCTGTCTTAGGCTACAACTACTGTCGCCTCTTGCTATAAATCTAATGACCTGTCTTTGCCATTACCTATACGGAAGCATGCTAATCTAATATGCTTGAGACGCAAGTTACGAAATGTTAAGTATTTTCAATCAAATTTTTTTGCATAAATGAGCGTAGTGTAAAGTAGATCCAGGATACTACCTATACAAAATTTTGAAACCCCTCAAAGGTTATATAGTGTTTTTGTTATTTTGAATTGGATTAATAGCAAATCCAATTCAATTATTTTGAATTGGATTAATAGCAAAAACCCTTGGGTTTTTGAAAAACAGCTTTCAAGGTTATCCTATCTTTAAAACTTTGAATTGAAGATTCTTCAATTTTTTCAACTTCTTAAAACCCAAATAAAGTAAATTTCCTTATGTTTTATACAGCTGGACTTGGCAGAACTGGTACACTTATAGCGTGTTATATTATGAAGCATTACAGGATGACTGCTGCTGAAACTATTGCCTGGATTAGAATTTGTAGACCTGGTTCTGTGATTGGAACTCAACAACATTTCTTGTTGGAGTATGTAAACATTTAAATATGGATGCATATATTTATGTCTATGTGCAATATCAGAATGATTTAGTATTAAATATAATAATTGTTTTTTGTAGCAAGCTGGACTTCTTTAATCTGGTGTTCTTCAGATATGTTATCTAGCCTGACCATTGTTGAAGGGAATTATAGCCCATCATATCTGGAAGGTATCAAGTTTAAAGAAAAGTACCCTGGGCCTTAGCTTCACTTAAATGTATAATAGGTATTCTTTTTTCCTACATACATACTAACAAATAAATACATACATACATACATACATACATACATACATACATACATACATACATACAGTTGTAAATATGAGGATTGGTAAAGTTACTTTTTCATCATTGTTGTAACTGCAAATGGTCACTAAACAAGGATGACCTGCATATGTTATACTATCATTGTATGTTTGAACCATATAGCCATATAGAGAGTTATAGAGAGTTACTAGTTGTTTGCGGAACTGGTCATTACTTTAAGTTCTGAATGAAATGAGAAACTGCATTGTAAACAATCTGCAATAGCCACCATTTGATCAGAATTATCCAGGTCTATTCAGTGGCTAAATGTGTTTTACCACATTAAGTTAAAAATGCTAGATTATTAACCATAATACTGTTTATGTGTTTGGTTTAACAAATTATATGAATCCTGTCTTTTTTTAAAAAAAAATATGATTTATAGCAGTACAATGTGGAAAAGGACATTATAGTAAATCAACAAACCTTGCATAACAAGATAATGGATTAATCAGTGTATTATCCTAAATTATATCTTTCGCTGCAAGTGTACCATTCCATATGGTCAGTTTTGCTCATTACATCTGTGCTCTTTGACATTATTCTATTAATGCTTAAATGTAAAATTTAGCATTCATTTTCAAAATCACATTTTGCTAGGTGTTACTCTTGTTTTTTTCCAGTAGGTTTTTGTACCCAGAAAAGCCAAACGTCTGCTGATTAGGGAAGAAGATGGCTTTTGCTGAGCCTCTGCATTTTGCCAGGCTGCCTTTCATACTGTCCCAGTGCCTCAAAATTTTGGAAGAGGCACAAAGAACTATATGGGGAAGAAGAATGAATGACAGTCATGGCCTTTTCCATTAGCAGACACTTCTGTTAGAGCAAAATGGATGGAACCAGATGGAAGACAGAAATAGTTGTATGCAAATCAATAGTGGCATTGTATAATTTCTAGGAAACATGTGATGCTAGAACTAGAACTGGTGTTCTATCTGTGCCCTTGCAACGATTAATGTCCAATATTGAAACAATTTGATTTTAATTATAAATATGGTTATACATTGAAATGAGCTGGCTTCTAACTTAATTTCTTTCTATTATAGCAAACAGTCAGAACTTTGGATGGAAGGTGATATTTATCGTTCAAAGCTAAAGAAGACTCAAAAGCTTGCAGTTACAAAAATCCTTTCAGGAGTAGATGACATTTCAATTAACGATTCAAAAAATCAGAATGCCAGCAGAAAAGATTCTGAACCGGTAATCATCCGCATGGTGTGCTGTTGGAAATCTTAGGAAACCTTTTTTTTTCTTCTTCTTCTTTTAACATGGGTATAATAAAGCAAGAGTAATTGGATTCATTTGTATGGCTGTTCTGTATTTCTGTCCCTATCAAGCATTCCAAAAGTAGAGAAAATAATGAACAGGACATTCTGCAAGAAGAAGTATGGACGTAATCGTACTTTTTTGCCAAAATGCCTCTTTTCTGCTGCTCAGATTTACCTTTTATCTTACTGATTTGACTTTCACGTTAAAAAAACTAAAATAAAATGCTCAGAACACTTTTGTAAGAACTGTTGGCGCTGGGTAAAACAATCCACCCCTATCTAGTACTGTGGTAAATATGATTCTTCAGTAGTAGGACTTGAAAGCTTTGTTATAAATAATTTCAATGACTTACCATTTATTTACAGTACAGTGATGAAGAAGAAACACACACAGTAACACAAGGGGACAAGCTCCGTGCCCTTAAAAGTAAAAGGCAGGCAAAAGCATATTCAGTTCCATTAACGTAAGTTAACTTTATTTTGGTTTTGTAAATGCAAACACTTTTTAAAAAAAATTTGATTTAGTTACGTTCCGTGTTACCTCATCGTAATTCTTTTTGACTGAGTCACTTACAAGCCTCACGATTTCATTTTATTATCATCAAATTCTTTGGTCTGTCACTAAGACATACATGTAATCTTCCTCAAATGCTTTTTTAAATTGTTAAATTGAATGTTTTTTAAACTGAATTTTTTTTTAGGTTTTGTTATCAGTGTCAGCACTATTGAAAATGACTCCTGAATGAAAGGTCAGATTCATCATTTTAGTCAGAATAACCTTCTTTCTAGGGGCCTTTGCTTAGGAAGCTATTGTCATGCCAGCCCTTGTGCTGGGATGGGTTGTGCTATACCTTTAAAGTGTATGGTAAGTTTGTTTTTATTAAGGTTAGAAAAAGAAGCATAATCAGTTAAAAATGCCATGCTTTTAAGATACATAATTAAATATTGAAAAAAAAATTAGTTTCATCAGTGCTACATTTTGTGTGCATAGGTAAAGTGTAACATACATAGAACAGATTTAATCTGTTAATCCACCCATAGAGTGCCGATGTGATATGTGATATTGGAAGGTCATTTTGTAAATAAGGGAGTGGTTGGGCATTTTTTTAAAAAATAGTACTTGAACCAGTCTAGGATTAATTCATACTTTAAGGTGAAAGTGAGTTGCAGAATAATGGCAAAGGAATTCCTTTAAAAAAAAAATAGATAGCCTTTGCTCAGTGAGTGGAAAACATTTTCCATAGTGAAAATTAATGGACATTTCTTTTAGCTGAAATGTACCGTTCATCTGCAAAATTCTTAATTTTCCCACCCCCTTTTGACTTCATGTTCATCTCTTCCTCCCCACCCTTCGCTCCTTTTTAGATGTCTCCTAGCTATACTGGCCTCTGCTCTGAGTAGCATTGTCATCTGGTGGATTGTGTGTGGCTCCCTCCTTCCCAACCTGCTATTCTGTCTAGATGGTTTAAGAACATAGGTCCATCAGAACCTCCCTTGGGAGAGCCACTGTGTAAGTGTCCCTATTACATTCTCTTCAGCAGCTCATTTTCTTGCCTTAATCATAAGTGCATTGCATTTTATTACCATCTCCCCCTGCCCCCCCCCCTTCATTTAACTTCTCTAGGTACTCTTAAAAGCAAAAAGGGATGTAGAACAAGGGGTGATTTATCTATCTTAGAATTTTCTTCTGAGCTGTCTGCGTGCTGGTCCAGATATTTTGTGTAGAAAACTTATATGTGTGGTATTATTTTGAATGTATAGTGGGATTTGCTTCCTTTTGTTTGCAAGTACGAGAAAATTAGTCTGTTTCTGGAATCCTTTGAGGCTGGACCTTCTGACTTTGTGTTTTCACTCCATAAGTATGAAGAGGTGTAAACAAATAAGCCCATAGTCTAGGCCAGGGGTCTTCAAACTTGGCCCTTTTATGACTTGTGGACTTCAACTCCCAGAATTCCTCAGCCAGGCACGCTGGCTGAGGAATTCTGGGAGTTGAAGTCCACAAGTCATAAAAGGGCCAAGTTTGAAGACCTCGGGTCTAGGCATTCAGTGCTACAGTTCTGTTATATACCCACTCCTCATTTAGTGAACAAGTTCATTTCCAGTGACCAGGTTGTCAAGTGAGACGATTAGGATTGAAATAGAGAAGGAGGGAGGGAAACGGTTGCTGGTTGCTTCCATCTCATTCAGTTAAGGTTCTCTCTTGCAGCTCTGCCAGCGTTACTCTCACTGGTGTGTGTTGTTGCCAAGCATATGAAATTTGGTGATAAATGAATGCATAGGTCAGAAAATGAATTATTTATTACAGTAGTATTTGTAAATGGTTGCTAATTAAGATGGTTGCTAAACAGGGAATGGGTGTATGCCCTTTTCTTTCCCCTCCTCTCCTGTCCCCATGAATGCTTTGAAGTAATTGGAGCATTCCGATTAGTCAATGTAGTATTTGGCTGTATGCAAAGTAATTCAGTTAATGAAAAAGATAAACATTTTTTAGATTGCTGCTATTTTAAACCATCAGTGGGCAGTAGTCTTAAGAATACTGAAGTACTGAATACTGAATGGAGTACTAAGAAGGATCAAGTCCACAACTCTGTTCATATTTATTTCTTGTTTGATTGACTGACTGACTGACTGACTGAGGCTTTAGTTCTGCTAAATTCTATAGGTTGTAAAAAGTTTGCAAGCTCCCAAAACAAATGTTACAAGTAAAAAAAAATCAAATGTATAAACAACCTAGAAAACAACAGGTGAAATGCCATCCCATGATGTTAATACAAAATCTCCACATTCCAAAATATCTTCCCAAAGATCCAGGTCTTTATAGCCTCTTGGAAGCCCAGTATTGGCAGGTGGACAGGATAACCAAGGTAAATTGTTCCAAAGGGGTTATCGCTCAGAAAGGTCAAAGCATCCCTGAAAAAAGGGATCTTCAGAAAGCTCAAATCTGATTTCATTGAATGAATAGGTTCAGTGCAGAGAATGTGGTCTCATAGGTATCTCTGTCTGAGCCATAAGGGTTTTAAAGGTGAAAAACAGCATCTTGAGTTGCACCTAAAAGCTAATTGGCAGGCATTGCACCTGTTGAAGTAGTGCTGTCACATGGGCAAAGTTTGACGCACCCACAACTATACAGGGAGATGCATGCTATACTAGTTGAACTTTTTAATGTTCTTCTAAGACAGACCAGGCAGATCAGATTGTAGTAGTCTATCTAAGATGATTGACTGTGTGCAAAATTCCTTGATCCAGAAATGGCTGCACAATGCACCAGGTGCAATTGAAGAAAGAACCTGCCACCCACAGCCTCCAGGTGCTATTTCAGCTGGAGATGTGAATCTGGGAGAGTAGCAGAACCTAATATAGTATTATAATATTTCAAGCTATCAAATACATAGCCACTCATTCTTGGCTAAGATTCCAATCAGAGCTTATTTTTATACATCTATCTTTCCAGCTTCTTCTGTTTTGTCCCTTACACACTCACACACTGTTGTCACAAACATTCCATTTCCTTTTTCTTCAGTGTCCTGCAGCAGATAAATTAATTTAATTTAAATTTCCTGCCATATGGAGGGTGACAAAATATAGTTAGGACAGCATAATTATTTGAATTACATTTAGGCATATTAATCATTGGACTCTGCCTCCTAATGATTCTTTCAAATATTTCAACATTTTTCTATACTTGTCTTAGAATCTGGTGTTGGCCATCTTCTGTTTTGTTGTTGTATTTAGCTCTGAATTCTTCTCTTTTTGTAATCCTAAATGATCAATTGCTGTAATACAGAACAAGACTATATTTATCTTGAAAACTGCCCATCATTTTATTTGAATTATTACTGAAAGATAGCACACACTATATTTTTATTTTAAAAATTGCAAAGTATGTGACATTTTTACTGTATAAATTGTGTAAGGTGCTTGAAACTTTAATGTCAAGTTTCCTGGGGATGAATAATTCTGTTTTCATTCTCGTCTATATCAGTAATTATATTCACTCTAATTCAGTGAGATAAGTTATTGGATAGTGACACATGTTACCAAGAGGATGAGTCATTTAGTCATTAACTATTTTTTGCAATTTTCATTACAGTGGTAGTCATGAGTAAATGTTGCTCATTTGAAAATTAGCACAATTTGCAAGATAGAATATTGTAGTTTATTGTTGGAAGAAATCTGTTGCCATCTCCAATTTCCCTTCCAAGTGAGATTTTATTAACTTTGTGGAGGGAGGTCTAATATCTAAAGCAGGTGTCCAATCCATAGCTGGTCACATGCATCCCTGGACAGCTAGTAATGTAACCCCATAAGATCATAAACTTTTGGCATTGTGTGATTTTTAGAGATATTTTTATATAGTAATTGTATTGCATATTTTATATGTAATAATAATAATAAAGTTGGAAGGTACCTTGGAGGTCATCTAGTCCAACCCCCTGCTCAGGCAAGAAACCCTATACCATTTCGGACAAATGGCTGTCCAGTTTCTTCTTAAAAACTTCCAATGTTGGAACATTCACCGCTTCTGGAGGCAGGTTGTTCCACTGGTTAATTGTTCTAACTGTCAGGAAGTTTCTCCTTAGTTCTAGGTTGCTTGTCTCTCTGGTTAGTTTCCACCCGTTGCTCCTTGTCCTGCCTTCAGGCGCTTTGGAAAATAGCTTGACTCCCTCTTCTTTGTGGCAGCCTCTGAGATATTGGAACACTGCTATCATGTGGCCCAAGACAATTCCTCTTCACTCAGTGCAGCCTATGCAAGCCAAAAGATTGGGCATCCATGATCAAAAGTATGCTTACTAAAATCTGACTATTTTTTAAAAATATATTTAGACATAGATTTTCCCTCATTTGAAGAGATTATCGGGATCTAGAAATTAAATAAATATATATCAGTGAAACTTTTTTATATATATATAACAGATTAAGACAGTTGGAAGGGACCTTGGAGGTCTTCTATTCCAACCCCCTGCTCAAAGCAGGATATTCTATACCAGTGGCGGTGAACCTATGGCACACGTCCCAGAGATGGCAGGTCCCTCTTCAACCAGCCGCCTGAGGTCCCATGTGGCCAGATGCATCCCGGCACGGCTGGTTTCCCTCCCCCCCGTCTCATCCCTCCTGGCTTCGCATGCTCTCTTTTTCCCAGGCACGACCCACTGCATCACCTCCTCAGTGTCAGCCAGCTGTCCAGCTCAGAGGTGACTTCTCTGAACTGCTGGCAGCGGGCTGCAGAGCCCCAGAGTGAGCCAGTCGAGGAGCCGGCAGGCTGTGGCTGCTGATGGATATCATCAACCCCCATGTGCTCGCTGGCTTCTGTGTGTGGAGGCCGATAGTGTCAGGCAGCAGTTGCCCCAGCCCCTGCCTCGCCTTGCCCCGCGGCAATGGCACCCCCGCTCTGCCTCACCTCGCCTCAACCCGCAGGACGAGCTTCCTGCCCCACCTGCCAGAGACCCCCCTGGATCTCCCCCAACCCTGCCTGGCGCCCACAGGCGTCCCTCTTCATGAGCAACATCGAGGTGACCATGCCTACTTTGGCCACACCCACCCAGTCTGCTTTGACCACCACAGCCACAACCAACCTGTTGGCCAAATCCCACCCTGCACCCAGCGATAAATAAATGGGTTTTGGGTTGCCGTTTGGGCACTCGATCTCTAAACGGTTCGCCATCACTGTTCTATACCATTTCAGACAAATGATTGTCTAATCTCTTCTTTAAAACATCCAGTGTTGGAGCACCCACAACTTCTGGAGGCAGGTCATTCCACTGATTAATTGTTCTGTCAGGAAATTTCTCCTTAATTCTAGGTAGGTTCTTTCCTTGATTAGTTTCCATTTATTGCTTCTCGTCCTGCCTTCGGGTGCTTTTGGAGAATAAGTTAAAATTGCCTGCCCTCCATTCATCTGGGTTTTTTTTTCTATCCATTTAATTGTTCACATAAATAGACTGAAAGAGAGCAAAATATTGTTGTGTCTTGAATAAAAGGAGTAGTATAGTAGTATATTTAGTGAAGGAGTCAAGGAAGCTACAAGTTGTTCTTGACTTACAACTACAATTTCCAAGATAACTCAATGCATTCTTAAAGTGAATCATGATGTGACCGGAGTCAATTTCATGGACGTTTTTACTGCATTTGTTAAGCCAATCATGTGGTCGTTAAGCAAATCTGGCTTCCCCAATTGATCAATTTTATTGGAAACCAGATGTAAAAGTCACAAATCTTGGTCACATGACCGCAGAATGTTGCAGACAGTCCTAAATGGGAACCAATTGCCAAATGCCAGAATTGCAATCAGAGACCAGAGTGATGGTGTAATGGTCATAAGTATGAGGACCTTTTCCAAAGCCGTGGTAACTCGGAGCCATTATTAATTCAATGGATGTAAGTTGAGGACTACCTATAATTTGGTAACTGATAAGAGGTTTGTTTTACCATTCCTTTCTTACTTTGGAAAAAGCAGAAAGTTCTTTTTGTTTCTCAAGTTGAAGATAACATAAAGTAAGATAATGGGATAAC